GGACACATATCCATAATTACGATTTAAGATATCTTCAACACAATTATGACTAGTCAAAATTACAATTCAAGATATCTTTAATTTAATTTTGTCTAGTCATTATTTGCTTTTAAGATATCTATAATTTAGTTTTCACTAGTCAAAACTACATTCCTCCTATCCAAAAATACATTTAAGATATCTTGAATTATGGAGTCATTAGAGATATCTTTAATTAGGATTATGACTAGTCAAAACTAAAATTGAGATATCTTGAATTTATTTTATGACTAGTCATAATTTAATTGTAGATATCTGAAATGTGTATTTCAGGTAGTCAGTAATTCATTTTAGATATCTTGAATTGAAGTCTCCATACAAGTCAACGGTAAATCTGACATCATTTCGACTTGTCAGAATGTAATTAGAGATATCTCAAATAGTTATTTTGTCTAGCCGAAATATAATTGGAGATATTTTAAATTGCTAAAACGTCTAGTCACAAAACAATTTGAGATATCTGGAATGTAAGGGCGGTAAAACCGAATTTATGTTAAAATGGCTTGCCATATAGACTCAAACTGTTTTTTTAAGGAGCATTTATCAATAAAAAACAACACAAAATATTATGTGTATTTTTAATAACCTAAGATGGCATAAGATAATTTCCAATGTCTTATATCAGCGGTTTGTCCCTCCTATCTAACAGTTAAATAAATGACTCCAAACTAAGCATCTGATTTTCTGTTTTCAGTTTTAGTCAATACAAGTACCTGATAAAATTGACATTTATATTTGTTGTTAAAATATTAAAGTTTACAATGTATGATATTTGCAGTTAAATTGATGCATTAAATTCAGCGAGGGGTTTTCTTTTTCTCAGAACTTAAGTTGAACTAAACTTTATGGGTTTTCCTTACTCTGTCTTCCAATTGATGCAACACCATGAGATCTTAATACAAACCCAGTCAAAAGATAAATGCTGTTTTTTCTGGTGTTTGATTTCAAATGGATATGATTTCAAATATAACTGAGTAACTTTATTCAAAACTAATTCAAGTAAAAGTAAAAGTTCAGGTTTTGTAAACAGCTTGAAAGACATTTAAGACAAATTATAATTACATCATTAAATTTAAATGTAGCTAATTACATTAAAATTTAATTAAAATTACAATTTTAATTAAAATTAAAAAATACCAAAATATACAGTATTTTGGTTCTGTATATGGCAGAACCAAAATACATATTTTTTCCACATTCTGAAGTGGTTTGACTTCTGCGTTATCCATACAGGTAGCCTATAGGACAGTAAAATATTAATGATTTTGTTTTGGTTTGCACAATGAGCCACTGGCGATTTTCGTTATAGCCCTGGCAAAAATTTAAAACTACTTTTACCCCTGGACAGCGCACACCAGCATGTTGCCATCAACTCTTCAGGGCAATTGGAAGCACCTTCAAAAGTTGAAATCAGTGCTAAGGGCTTGGATCCTGACCTGTTCGGATCGGGACCACAGTTCGTCTCTGCTTCCCAACACATCTCATCACTCACAGCTTTGCACACTCCGTAGCCAAATAGGAGGGGAGAAATGACGTAACCATGCAAGCCAAGCCCCTCACAGCGAGCATTACCAGGTCCTTTATAAAGAGCCCCAATATTGGTCACCCGAGCAGCCTCTGCCTCGGATTGATCATTGCCAGGGCAGCGTTCAGTAACAGCCATGTCTCACGGATGGGGATACGGACCGAGCGACGGTAAGAACCCTGCAGCCTCCAGCACTGCCAACCGGGAAGTCTCACTCCTTATTACACTGAAAAGAGTGTGACTGGGCTACATTAATAATTACAAAAGAAGTGCCAGCCGCCTACTGATGATAAAAAAAGAGAGCGAGTTTAATTACACTTTTATAAAATTATAATTATTTAAATTACATTTTACTTATTTCTGTCTAAACACTGTCAGCTCAAAATCATTAAGTAGAATTGAATTACAGTTTAACATTAAGGTAAACAATATTGAATATTCAAATAAATTCTACCCAATGGGAGCTTTTGGTTTTAATTGCCGTACATTTCTACTCCAGGAATTGCGCTACACAAACATAATTAAATAAGTAGTTTTTACTTAAAGTTGAAGGGTGTAAAATCTATTCAGCTGTTTTAATCGTTACTTTGTTGCCATTTAAAGTAAGCAATTATCACACTTTTCTGGAGTAATGAGTGTAGCAGGACAGCCTGAGGAAAGCTGCTTTATGGCAACAACTGCGGTTAAAACACATCAGCTTTATGATGCGCTGCTCGGATGTTCCCAACTCTGGACACTGAAGGTCATGATGAGGAGGATCAACTAAAGTGATGGTTGTTCGTTTCAGGCAGTCGGTTTCCTGCCAGCTAAGTTTTCTGAATGCATTGACTTTTACAGTTGAAAAATATGTTAGAAATATCTGAAATATCTTATTGTGTTTACTGCGTTCAGTAAACACAATAAAAGTCATAACGTCTTACTGAATTTTATATTTTATTCTGTTCATATTGATGCTCGCAATAAAATTTGACCTGCATTTGTAGTTCACTCACAACTTTCTATTTTTTCTAAACTTAATAGAGATGTTGCCTAAGGAATAAATTAGTTATACCTTGTTAAATGAACCATTCTGTAACCACATACTGTAAGTATCCATTATGAATGATCACACTGTGTTTGTTTCTATGGGAGCAATGCTGCTTTTCTTCAAGATGTACTGGAACATCAAAATGGTCACGGTAAAAACTTTGTCTTTATATAACGAACTTGAATAGGTCCTCATTTTTACATTTACAGGACCTGACAAGTGGGCAGAAAACTTCCCGCTTGCTAATGGACCCAGACAGTCTCCCATCAACATCGTTACCAAGGAGGCCCAATATGATCCGTCTCTGAAGCGTCTGAAACTCCAGTATGACCCCTCCAATGCCAGGGGCATTCTCAACAATGGACACTCCTTCCAGGTGGACTTTGTGGACGACACAGACAGCTCCAGTAAGCAAAGCTGACCCCTAAGTTTGAGACTAAAGTTCTGAAGGAACACAAACACACACTTCATCATTTTATACTCATTCTGGAAATGGTTTTAGTTTTGTTTCAAGTCCTGTGTCACTCAGATGCATTGTTGGTATAACAAACATGACATCCTAAACTCCTAAAACCTGATTTCTAACTTTTATTTTAAGTACTTGCAAGATATATTATTACTTTACCTTTGAATTTTATCTCTCCTGTTTGTTTCCTCCACCCATGCTGTATGTACACACAGATAAGCATGTCTGATGATGTAAGTGTTCAGTTATCTCCTAACAGCCCTGGTTCTTTATCTCAAGGTCAACATGCATGTTCAGCCCATCATCGTGACTCTTCAATTTTACTCTGTGCTCCAGTAGTTGTCACAGATAAACAGCTATAATCTGTCATAAAAGCCTTAAAAATGTAATTTTTGAACATGCAGGCAACTTCAAATATCAAATGGTCAATATAAACAGATGAAAAGAAATGTGAAACATACCCAAGAACTTACCCTTAATGTGTAGTTAACAATTCCATTTATTTCAGTTTAATTATAAAGGACACGCTGTTAGACACAGATGACGCTGGCTCAGATAAAGCTTCTTAAAATTTAAATGGGCTGCACAGTGGCGCAGTTGGTAGCACGGTTGCCTTGCAGCAAGAAGGTCATGGGCTCAATTCCTGGCCTGGGGTCTTTCTACATGGAGTTGTTCTCCCTGTGCATGGTGGGTTCTCCGGCACAGTCCAAAAACATGACTGTCAGGTTAATTGGTTTCTCTAAATTCTCCCTAGATGTGTGCATGGTTGTTCATTCTGTCTGTTTCTGTGTTGCCCTGCAACAGACTGGCAACACTCTAAAAAGAAATTAGTTGAACCAACTTAATTGAATTGCTTCAATTGGTAACAAGCAATCCAATTAAGTTTATCCAACTTAATTTATTAAGTTTAACCAATTTAATATATTATAATCATCCAACTCAATTTGTTAAGTTTCTTTTTTAACAAATTTATTAAGTATGTTTAAGATGACAAATCTAAGTCAGTTTTACTCAAATCATTTAGTTTACTTCAAATAAAGAAGTAAATTAATAAAGGATATGTTTTGTTCAAAGGGTTTTTGGCTGAGGCAGAATTTATTTGAGCGTAGTTATTCATGAAAGTGGTCAGTGACAGAGAGGAAGACCTGCAGCTAAGGTCATCAGGTTGGGCATCAAACCTGCGAAGGCCGTGTCAAGGACTAAGTCCTCCTTATGTGGATTGTGCTCTGCACCCTGGTTGGTACAGAATCTGTCCCTGGTAAGCTTGAGTCATGGTGTCAGATGTAGGATACAAATATGGTATTGAACTTAATTCTTTCAAGTAAAGTCAAAGTTAAAAAAATCCTTTAAGAAAAAGTTTTGTGACTTTTAAGTTAGAGTGTATTTAGAGAACACTGTAAAAAGAGTATTAGGCTCAAACCAAGAAGTTATAAAATATTTAGTTTGGAACTACTTAAAAGTTTGAGTTGACTTTTTGTAGAATTAAGTCAAAGAGATTTTAAATGTTTATTTGAACAAAATAGCACCCCTCCCAAACCCGCTAGGGACAAGGGTGTAGAAAATGGATGGATGGAAGTGTCAATGTATCATTTCCAATTTTTCATGGTTTATTGTTCAACTATTTCCTCTTACAGCTGATCAACAGTAGCTTACAAAAGTTATAGCTAGCAGGAGCATTTTAGCATGCTATATTAAAAGAGCTTTGTCACTGGCTGATGCAAATAGAAAAATTATTTATTTGTTGTTTTTTTTTCTCTGTCTTAATGAGTCTGTTATTTGTATTTCTCAGCCCTGACTGGAGGTCCCATCTCTGGAACATACCGACTGAAGCAATTTCATTTCCACTGGGGAGGCAGTGATGATAGAGGCTCTGAGCACACTATAAACGGCATCAAGTTTCCTTGTGAGGTAATGAATTCAACAGTTTGCTGAGTTATGTTTGTATTGTTGAACACATGCATAGAAAAATAATAATGTGAAGATTTGCTATAACCTTAAACTCCTCACATCAAATACAAGGCAGGACATATATACACACCATATTTTCCGCACTATAAGACGCACCTAAAAACCTTCAATTTCCTCAAAAGTCGACAGTCCGCCTTATAATCCGGTGCGCCTTATATATGGACCAATATTGAGCCACAACAGGTCTACGTATTTTAGAATTTTTTCTCAGAAAAAACATATGTTTTGCGGAATGTTATGTCAACTCTGTTACGGACAATATAGACAGTGAGTGAAAAAAACAATAAATTCTAGCAGACTAAAATATTGTTATTCCATTACACCAAGTGTCCTACTACCCAAATACTTTAAATTGAGATGTTTTACTTAAAAATACATTTAAAAAAATCAAAAGATAATCAACTTTTCACAGAGTTATTCGCATAGGGTCAAACGTGTGTGTGTGTGTGTGTGTGTGTGTGTGTGTGTGTGTGTGTGTGTACGTGTGTGTGTGTGGAGTTGTACTGCATGTCGACCCAATATCTTGATGAAGTGAACACAGTTTACTTGACTTTTAAAGGTTCCTGCTACTACAGATATCAGCATACGTCTTTTCTTGTTAGCTTCACCTGGTGCACTGGAATACCAAATATCCCAGCTTTGGGGAGGCTGCTGACAAGCCTGATGGACTGGCTGTGGTTGGAATCTTTCTCAAAGTAAGTAATCAGTGCTCTTTGCACCAGCATCTCCAATAGAGATGTGTTGGAGAAAATGTCTACTAATAACTTTGTATTTGAAAAAAACTACATTAAAGGTGATGTTTTCATTCAGATTGGTGCTGCCAACCCCAGGCTTCAGAAAGTTCTGGATGCTTTGGACTCTATTAAGACAAAGGTACAAACAAAAACAATCTGAGGTGGAATTGAACTTGCGTTGTTCAAATGTGCTCATACTGATAGCTTTGTTTTTCCGGCTTTACATTTCCATCTCTTCTGTGTGAGACATATAGGGAAAGCAGACAACTTTCTCTAACTTTGATGCAAGAACTCTTCTTCCTGGTTCTCTGGATTATTGGACTTATGATGGATCTTTGACGACCCCACCCCTTTTGGAGAGCGTCACCTGGATTGTCCTCAGGGAGCCTATAAGTGTCAGCCCTGCTCAGGTGGGTAGCTTGGTCCACTTAAAACACTGGAAGGACAGAAAAGCTAAATGAATCAGTTAAGAGTTCAACTGTTTTTATTTTTATTTTCAATTTTAAATTATGCTTATTTAAATCTAAAACTGAAACATTGAATCTCTTTTTTGAGAGGGAAAAAAAAGTTCTCATTCATGTGATGTTCATGTAACATTTATTAGACATCTATATTATGTATGTACTGGCTGACAGGTGGGGAAAAGCATGGTCAACATATAGTTTGTCTGTTATATTCTCAGCTGGATGGTACTGGATAAGTATAGTTCACAAGTCAGTGAAATCTACACTGGATTTGCTGGGATTTATTTCAAACTGCACTGTAGTGCAGTTGGTAGCACTGTTGCCTGGCAGCAAGAAGGTCTTGCTACCTGGAGTTTGCATGTTCTCCCTCTGCATGCGTAGGTTCTCTCCGGGTACATGACTGATAGGTTAATTAGTTTGTCTAAATCCTGCTTAGGTGAGTTTGTGTGTGTGTGTGTGTGTGTATATGTGTGTGTGTGTGTGTATGTGTGTGTGTGTGTGTGTGTGTGTGTGTGTGTGTGCATGATTGTCCTGTTTGTCTCTGAGTTGCCCTGTGATGGACTGGCGGGGTTGACTGGTAGGAGTTCATAACTTTATTGATGGGTTGCCAGTTTGATACCCAATCTGTCGTCGTGTCTTTGGGTAAGACACTTCACCCATCTTGCCTGCTGGTGGAGGTCAGAGGGCCGGTGGCCGCATTGCATGGCAGCTTCGATTTTGTCAGACTGCCAAGGGCAGCTGTGGCTGCTATCCAGTAGCTTGTCACCATCAGGGTGTGAATGAAAATCAGTGAATGACTGAATGTAGTGTGAAGCACTTTAGGGTCCTGTGGACTTAATAAAGCAGTTTTTACCATTACGAAATACTCAGTCAGTTAAAATAACGTTTTATTAAAATTATATGTTATGGGTTCATCAGCCCAATACATGCAAGGACTTGCTTCTATTAAAATTTCTGAGTACTGGAGACTATTATTCAAAGTAGGTGAATCATGCTGGAAAATGGTTATTGTTGGGAATTTGTGATATTGTGACATAAAGCAACATATATTGTGTCAAAGGAACTTCATAACTGTTTCTGTGTTCCTGTATTCCATTAGATGGCAAAGTTTCGAAGCCTCCTGTTCACTGGAGAAGGAGAGGCCGCATGCTGCATGGTGGACAACTTCCGTCCTCCACAGCTCCTCAAGGGCCGTCAAGTCCGTGCTTCCTTTAAGTAAATCTTAGTTATACAGCAGGTGTTCCCAAAACCAGGTGTTGGTAACAACCCATGTAATCCATACATAGAAAAAATAAAACAAATCAGTTCAGAAATTAAATTATGAGTAATAATATAAAATGAATTGGGCTATTCTAGCAGTTTTATGTTCTGTCTCTGCAGCTGGTTGAGAGCTTCCTTGTCTCTGTGTTTGGGATCATTGTCCTGCTGAAATATCCACCCTTTTTCATTCTGGCAGCAGACTTTTCTCTATAATGTCTGTACACTTTCATTTATCATCAATTACATGAATTCTGCCAATTATGTAGAAAAATAGACCCACATATTGATGTTCCCACCTCCAAACTTGACTATCTGCATGGAGCCTAAGTTCATTTTGTCCTTCAAATGTGGTGTTTGTTATGGCATCCAAAGAGTTCAATATTACTCTTATCTGACCAGTCTATGTTCTCCCAGTGTTTTACAAGCTTGTCCAAATGTTGTTCAGCAAACATTAAACAAGCTTAAACTTTCTTCGACTCCAGAAATGGAGTTTTGCGTGGTGAGCGTGCATACAGGCCATGGCTACTGAGTGCATTGCTTATTGTTTTCTGAAACAATTGTACTTGCCAACTCCATATCTTTCTGAAGGGCCCAGTGTAGTTCGAACGAAGTCGAACTGTCAATGTACAGTCATGTGGTTTTTGGATTTTCATTTTTGCAAAGACCTATTACGGTCCACAAAACACACTGAGGCGAGCTTCCCTCCCACTGCAGAATACGCCATGATGGTTTTTTGCCATGTGTGTAATTTATAACCATAGAGTAAACATAGCGATCATGGCAGAGAGACAACTATTACAAGTTCAGAAGTTCAGAGGAGGAGGGAATAATATTTGACAGTCTGGAAAATCAATCTTTTTCCATGTCATTAAAAAAACCCAAAAAGACAAATGTTAGGCATTGATGAGCCATTCTCCTGCTTCAACTGAGAGAATGGGCAGTGTAATATTTCAGTATGCTTCCTCCTCCTCATCAAACAATTTCTTTCTGACTGAAAAAACTGTGCTCTCACTATCTGACCTTCCTTGCACAGATATCAGTCAGATCAGCGGCCGGTGGAAATTGTGTGGCAGTTTCCTAAATGAATAAACACCCATGAAATTCAGACCAATCACACAATCTTCCAGAGAGGGGGCAAAAAGTTCACCAGGGGGTGAACAGCATAAGGAAGAGAACAAAATGATGCGATTTTCTTCATGCAACTGCAATAACGAGAACTGTTTTCAGCAATTTGGCTTCCATAAGCCATCAGTTTGGACTGAACCAGCTGATATTCATTTGCACTCAAAAGGGGCAGAATGTCTTTCTGATCACTGATGGATTTTAACTGGTGTCTTGGCTTTCCATGTCTTTTTCCACTTCCCTTTCTGTGTGTTCAATACTTTTCCCTCTTATTACTACGCATAACTTAATGTCTGAACTTGTTTGTTTTGGTTTCTTCTATATATGGATTACTTCAGTTGTTACAAACACCTGGTCAAAAAGTCATATTTATTATGACAAATTGTGATGTGTTCAATACGCTGTATTCCAAAGCGTCTTTATACCATAGCTTTCCATTTCATGTTCATTATTTGAACTATTAATACACAAAGACAGCTTTTTAATTTCCTGCTTGTCTCCAGCTACTTGAAACTTAAACCTTTTGCTTCATTTTATCTCTAGAATGTTTTGCCTTTTTTTCCTCTGAGGATGAATAAATGTCATTCTGGTCTAACAACACTTTTGGTAAATCTTATTTGTAAACTCTGAAACATTAGAATATCAAACTAAACATGAATAAACACACCCATGAAATTCATGGGTATGGTTGTTATTTAAAAAAATATAATCTTTGAAACTTTGACTATCTTTATACTAAGATTTACTGAGGTCTAAAAAATATGACAAAATGAATAACGGAATATTTTGTTAATCTTTAACTTATAATTATATCCTGCCTATTTGTGAAGTTTGTGGAATTATTTCAGATTTGTTTGGTAATAAAAGCCTGTGTGTGTTTTGTGAAATCTTATCCATGCTCGAGTGTTTTCTAGGATTGTAGTCCACTCATTAAATTGCTAAATAAAAGTCGGTATTGAGAACCTCCTTTGTGAGTTGGTGAGACTTTATTCCTATTTATATATTTAAAAATCAAATATATGAGTAGTTATGTCATAATTAACCATTTAATTGACTCTATGCCACTTGTATATCATGAGTTGCTTCTTTATTTTAGCACCTAAATGACA